TCTAGGTTGCCCAGAACTTGTGACCCTCCTGCCTCAGCCTCCAGAGTAGCTGGGATTGCACCACTCCTGACCCAACCCACTCTTCAGCCTCTCTGCTCCTCTTCTTGTCCCTCCCCATCTTGTCCCAGCTGTCCTGTAGGGAACCGATCTGGGAACTGCTGCCGGGACGCATGGCACAAGCGGCTTTCCAGCAGGGCTCTAGGAACCAGAACTGCCATCTCAGACAAATGGCTTCCTGAGGGAGAAACAGTTATGCCTCAATCATGCTTGGATAGAGAGCAAGAAAGCTGAAGATGTCAATCCTTGAGGTCCATGTGGTGGCGCACGCCTGTGAGTTCTAGGCCAGCCTGGACCCTGAAGTGAGCTCAAGGCCAGTCTGAACTGATTAACAACACTGTCTCAAAAAGACAAAACAAAATTACAAGGTCTGATAAACACACCTTTTTTCTTTTGGCAGAACCAGGGATTGAACTCAGGCCCTTGTGCTTGCCAGGCAAGCGCTTATTCTACTGAGCTATCTCCCCGGCCCCTTTCCTTTCTGAGACATAATCTTACTACGTAGCCCAGGCTGGCCTTGAACTCCCAGGGGTCCTTCTGTCTCAGCCCTCCAAACACGAGGATTACAGGTGCATGCCAACACAGACCACCTTTCACTGGGAAGTTTGTAAGGGTTTTCTCGTGGGCTGGCAGAAACATAGCCGCTTCTGGAAGCTGGATGAGGGGCAGCCGCAGCCGATTCCCTATGCTTCCACGCAGTCCTGTCCCTCCTTCCTTGTGAACCACAGGCTGGAAGGACTGCCCCCTCCTTCCTTGCTGCCTCAACCCGAGTGCCCCTGCCCTGGTGGCTATGCCAGTGTGGGGGTTGGGTGCCCTAGTAGAAGCCCCATGGCGGCGGCAGCGGGGGTGCAAGCTGCCGGCTGGGCGCTGCAGACCTGGATGTACCCTCCCAATTAGGGCACATCTGCTGGCTCTTAAGGCCGCCCACTCCTTGAGTGATGAGCCTGGGAGCGCCAGGGAGGTGGCTGCTGATTAAACAGCCCTGCACCGCTCCTGGAAAATGAGTGTAATTATGAGTGGTCCCAGCAGAGGGACGAGTTCCAATCCTGCTAATAACCCTTCCAGGTGCCTGCGGCGCGGGCCCCAGGGACACAGCAGTGCAGGCCTCTGCCTGGCGCTGGGCTGGCAGATGTGACAGAGCCCATGGCCCTTCATCGGGCCTGGGCCATGTTGGGTTGGGAGCTTCCTTTTTTCTTTGAGACAGGATCTGGCCACGAAGCTTAGACTGGCCTTGAACTTGGCACGATCCTGTGGGGGTGACGGGTATGGGGCACAGCATGCATGTGGGGAGGCAGTTCCCCAAAGCTCAAAGCTGGAAGTATGTGGGGTCTCGCGTGCGGCATCTTTCCAGGCTTGCCTGCACCCCCCTAGCCAGGGAGTTTCTCTGGGTGTACCCGTGATGCCAGGGCAAGTGGGTCTCAGCTGAGGAGACTTGGCCCCAGGGACACTTGCAAGGTCTAGAGACACCACTCTTCTGGGTTGGGGAGCAAGAGGGGAATGTGCTCCTGCTGGTGCCCTGGGGGCTGAGACCAGGACTGCTGCTGCTGTTCCCCGGGACCTGGGCAGAGTAGGTTTCTGTGGCTCAGCATGTCAGTAATGCTGAGAACAAAGTGCACAGCCTTGAGTTCTGCACCCCGGAACTCAGACATGACGAAGAAACCGCCTCACATCTGCAGCCAGGCACGGTGGGGCACACCTGTGATCCCAGCACTTGGGAGTTCAAGGCCAGCCTGGCCTACTTAGGGAGACTCCCTGTGAAAAAAACTCCACAAAACTAAAACAATAGAACAATCCAGATGCAAAGTGCTGGCCCTCGGGAGTGGGGAGTGATGGGAGCCACCCTGGTGATTCCCAGCACAGTGAGGACCAGGCTGGAGGCCGGGCTGTCGTTCTGGGATAGAACGAGAGGGGCCAGCTGCTCCCTGTCGGGTCCAGGGCCCCTGCAGTGACGCCAGATGCCCACTTCGAGGCACGGTACCAGAAGCCTCTTGGAGCTCACTCCTGCTGTGTGAGGCCAGGAGTGGCACACAGTTGCCCAGAGCCACAAAAATGTTTCCTGTGGTGTCATCAGGCCAGGTGGTGGTGACATGGTGGCTCTGATGGGACCCCAGGAGGAAGCTGAACACACAGCTACCGACAGCAGGCCAGCCCTAGACAGCTCTGTGCCAGAGACACCAGGCCTCCCCAAGCAGGCCGGCAGCATAAGGCAGGTTGGCCAGGCAATGCCCGGAGAGGTCTGGGGACAGGAGTTCTGTTTTCTTTTTTTTTTTTTTGGTCTTTTTAAGACAGGGTCTCACTATGCAGTTCAGGCCAGCATTGAGCTTGCTTTGTAACCCAGGCTGGTTTTGAACTTTCAACAATACTCCTGCCTCAGCCTTCGGAGTGCTGAGATTACAGGTGTGCACCACCACATCCAGCTCTGTTTTCTGTTTTGTTGAGACAGGGTCTCGATACGCAGCCCAGGCTGGCCCGGAACTCACAGTGACCTTCCTGCCTCAGCCTCCCGTGTGCTGGGGTTGCAGGCGTGTGCCACCATATCTTGCTCTGGCTTATTTTTAGGGTGAACACACATCTAGGTTTACAGTTGGGGTCTCAGCATCATGATCAACCCCTTTCACTTTCAAAAGTATCTCTCTTTGGATAGTACATTACATGCCGTATGTGACCTCAGCTTCTTTGAACATAGTTGTGTTATTTTCAGCCATTTGTAAACAATTTCTGTGCAGTGGGGGCCGGGATATTGCTCAGCGGCATAAGCGCCTGCCTGGCAAGCACAAGGTCCCGAGTTCAATCCCTGGTACCGCCAAAACAAAATATATATATTTCTATGCAAAAGAGGCTACATCTTAAAATGAGTTCTCACCCGAATCCAGACATTTGGCCATCAGCTCACACTAAGGAGAGAGACAGCGGGGTTTGATGAACAGTTGGTTTTTGATAGAGAAATTCGGGGGCGGGGGAATAATCTCGAATCTCTGGGAAAAGAAAAACCTCTTTCTTGCTGTGAGTTTCAGGCTCCCTGTGCAATCTCTGTAAATTCCAGAGGGAAGTGAAGCAGCCAGGCAGGAGGGGAGGGAGGAGCGCCCGGGAGCCTGCGCGCTAGAAAATGAGCCGGAGTCAGCGGCTGTGAGCCGCCAAGCCTGGGCGCGGGCACGCGCTCTGCAGCCGGCGCTCAGTTTGGCTGCTGCGGTGAGAATTAATGAGTCAGTGACTCTCGGGATCTATCTTCCAGAGCCGCTCCTGGAGGGGCTCTGCGGGGAGGGCTCTTTTCCTTTTCTACTTTTTTTTTGTTTTTAAGCCAAAGAGGGAAGCATCATTGTCCCTGGTCTCTGAGAATTTTGTTCTTCAGCTACAAGAGGTCATACTTCTGTTTCCTGTTTTCCCCTGCTTCTCATCAACTGCAGGCTTTTCAAACTGGTTGTGGTTTTTGACCACGCGGTCTGGCCATGTAGTTACATACCTGGGCTGGCCTTGAAGTCAAGGTGATCCTCCAGCCTCAGCCTCCCAGTGCTGGAAATGAGGTGCGTGTGCCCATACCCGGCTCATGCACACTGTGCTTCCCCCTCCACCCGTGTGTGTCATCCTGTGCCCAGAGCTGCCCGCACGGCTTTATTGTAACGCCAGGGACTGGTGCGCAACGTGGGCTTTGCAGCTGTCTCTCCAGAGCTGCTAACTGCAGTGGAACTCAAGCGAATGAGCCAGCAAAGTGGCTGATGGAGAATGTCAGGGGCTTGGCATCTTCTCTTCCCCTGCACATTTGTGTGATTTTGGCCAGTTAGTCACAACCCCTTAGATCCTTCTCTCATCTTTTTTTTTTTTTTTAATTATTTGGTTGTTACAGGGTCTCACTACGCAGCTAGGACTCGTGATTGTCCTGCTTTCAGCCTCCCCAGTGCTCAGTGGCTGGCTCACTGTGCCCAGGGGGTGGGGCTGGCGTGGCATATGGTGCCAGGAATCGAACCATGGTCCCTGCACTTGCCTAAGCTTACCTAAGCTTGCCTTTAGTCCTCTGAGCTGTCTTGCAGGCCCCTCTTCTCATCTTTTGCAGGCTAGCTGCTGCGTTGTCTTCTTCTTCTTCTTCTTCTTCTTCTTCTTCTTCTTCTTCTTCTTCTTCTTCTTCTTCTTCTTCTTTTCAGGCTGACTTCTTAAAATGGCACAGCTTGAGGTCAAGGTTCTGGGTGCCCTATTATGTGAGGTGTAAGTCTCTATCTTACAGAAACAGCTACGTGTGAGGGTGCGCCCCTGCCGTCCCCACACTCAGGAGGCTGAGGCAGGAGAATCGCTGAGTTTGAGGCCAGCCTAGGCTACAGAGCGAGACTGTCTCAAAAAAACTCAAAAAACCAAAACACCGCAAATAACCAGAACAGCTCCAGGCCAGCTTTCTAACTAATCCATTTGTTCAGATTTTTGGGGTACTCTAATTTCTTTTTCTGCTAAGTTTTATAGCTGGTTGGGCACAAACTCTGTAGGGAGAGAGAAGCGCAGGACCTTTGCAGTGCCACGGGCAGCTGTTCCCTGCAGCCTGCGCGCACCAAGCGACCACGCGCCGGGGATTTCTCGCGATGCCCTGGGAGCCGCCGGAGGTTCGTGCTGAGCCACGCAGGAGTGAGGGTCGGTGAGGGCAGCGCGAGACGGTGTCCAGGCCGCCCAGCCTGCCAGCCTCAGTCCCTGGGGCTCCTGGGGACAGGCTGGGGGAAGGGCGGCGGCGTGTGCGCCCCTCTGCCGACCGCCTTGGAATGGCGCCCACTGTTCCCACCTATGGGCCCCGATGGGGGATGGGTGAGCAGGTGTGCGAAGCGTGAGGCAACTGGCTCTCGTCGGTTCACCTGCTTGTGTGCTGCCACCTAGCGGTGACTTCTTCAGCGCCCTGTGGTGGGCAGGGAAGGTGACCATTCCTTCTCGTGTTCCCTTTCATTGCAGATCCCAAGTTCTCTCTCCTAGACCTAATCTGTTTCATTTTCTTACTCTTTTTTTTGTTTTTTTTCAGAACCGGGGATTGAACTCGGGCCCTTGCGCTTGCCAGGGAAGCGCTTATTCTACTGAGCCATCTCCCCAGGCCAACTCCCCGCCCCCCCCCTTTTAAGACAAGATCTCACTATGTAGTTCAGGCTGCCTTTGAACCCACTTTGTAGCCCAAGCTGCTCTTAACTTCATAGCGATCCTTCTGCCTCTGCCTCCCGAGCGCTGGGATGCCAGGCGTGTGCCACCATGCCTGGCTGGAGTTTATGTTCTTACTCACTATTTTGCTGCTTTTTCAGTACATAGATGACCTGAGTGCTGGGTGCAGGGACAGGAAAGAGGAGCGCCCTGTGCTAGGGAGCCGGCCTCAAAGTACTTCCGAGGGCCTTGGCAGAGGCCCACACAAGGCCGTGCAGCTGGGGAAGGGCTCCGAGGAGGAGCTCTCCAACGTGCTGACCGGGGCCTGGCTCCTGGCTGTCCAGAAAGATGCGAAAGGGAAAACTGGCCAGGGTGGTGTATGCCTGTAATCCCAGCACTCAGGAAGCTGAGGCAAGAGGATCGCAGTGAGTTCATGGCCAGCCTGGACTTAACGTGAGACACTGTCTCAACTAACCAACCAACCAACCTACAAACCAACAAAGAAAGCAGATGAAAGGGAAGCCACCAAGCGGAAGGAGCTGAGAAGTGGGAGGCAGCCGCAGGCTCCGAGTGACTGTGTCCTCGTGGACCTGCACCCCTCCTTCTCTCCCTGGCTTTTGCAGGTCATTTGCTTCTATCTGGTCTTCCCTGCCACTCTAGTGGGGGACAGTGGTGTCACCACCCTGAGGAAGGAACTCAACACCTGTGCACCAATCTGGAGTTTATTTGTGCTTTGCAGGCTAGGAAGACCCCCACGTTTCCTGGGGGAGGCAGAGCAGGTGGGGACAGGTGGCAGGCAGTGTCTCTTCCCTCTTGTCTCATGGTTTGCAGTCTCTTCAGTGCAGCTAGGACTTGACTTGGTGTCAGCACAGAAGAGGGGTCGGGCTGAAAGGAGGGGCCAAGCTCCAGGTTGGCTTTTCCACAGGGCAGGGAAGAGAGGAATGCGTCCTAGGGGTAAATACATGCATTTGCTTTCATGGTTCAAAATAGGCAGATATGCTAGGTGTGATGGTGCATCCTTGTAACCCCTGCACTTGGGAGGCTGAGGCAGGAGGATCACTATGAGTTTGAGACTAGCCTGGGCTACAAAGTGAGCTCAAGGCCAGTCTGAACTGCACATTGAAACACTGTCTCAAAGCATAATGCGGAATCCTCCTGGTTATGGGGCAGTTCCCTGACCACAGCGGACTGGATACCTAGGCCTCATCTGTCCTCCACATCGAAAGCAGCGGTGAGATACTCCCTCGGCACGATGCCGACCAGACTGTTCAGCTCTCCGACCCACCAGCCGAACATGTTGTACTCCTGCAAGAGAGGCAGAGGGGAGACAATGAGCTTTGCACCCGCTTCTGTGGACCTTAGCGCGATGGCCCAGGCAGCTCTCCTGGAGGGCTGAGGATGAACAGCGGTGGGTGTTGCACCATGCAGGATGAGGAGGTCAAAGCAAGCGCGTCCGATGGGTGTGGTGGCGCACACCTGCGATCCCAGCGCGTCCGATGGGTGTGGTGGCGCACACCTTCGATCCCAGCGCTCAGGAGGCTGAGGCCGAGGATCCCAGTGAGTCTGCGCCCAGCTAGGTTACATAGTGAGACCCTGGTTCAAAAAAAAATCTGCCCATTTTAATCTGCCCATCTGTGGAACACACAGGAAATCTGATGTCATGAAAGATCTCAAAGTCGGGGCCGGGGAGATGGCTCAGTAGAATAAGCGCTTCCCTAGCAAGCGCAAGGGCCTGAGTTCAATCCCTGGCTCTGCAAAAAAAAAAAAAAAAGATCTCAAAGTGCTTTTTAAAATTGATTAATTAGGGCCAGGCATATAGCTCAGTGGCATAAGTGCCTGCCTGGCAAGAGCAAGGTCCCGAGTTCAAACCCTGGTAATACACACACACACACACACACACACACACACACACACACACAAATGATTAATTAATTAGTTTTGTTTTCTTGAGACAGGATCTGGCTATGTAGCCCAGGCTGGCCTTGAACTTGAGGCGCTCTTCTTGCCTCAGCCTCCTAAGTGCTGGGGCCACAGGGGTGCACCACCTCTGGCTTCCTAGCCTGTCCTTCCCCGTCTTTGCTCTTTGGGGTTCACTCCCAAGCAGCCTTTGGATGTCAATTCTCGGGTCGCTCCCTCTCTAGGCGCCTCTCCTGGCCA